ATAAAATGCAATTTAGTTCAATTTAGAATTACGATTTTTATAAGCCTTGTTATTACTCACAATATATTCACAAAGTATTACTCATAAAGCAATAATATGCCATCATCTTACATACCCAAATGGTTTAGATGCTTGTTTAAAAATAATTCTAATACTATACAATAAAACACTTTCAAGAGTGGAGGGGGTGAATGAGATACTAATTAGAGTAGGTTCAATTTAGAATTACGATTTTTTTAAGCCTTGTTGTTGTTCAGAATATATTCACATAGTATTACTCATAAAGCAATAATATACCATCATCTTACATACACAAATGGTTTAGATGCTTGTTTAAAAATAATTCCAAGACTATACAATAAAACACTTTCAAGTGTAAATGGTTAATGAGATACTAATTAGATTAGGTACTTAAGTATAGGACTGTAAATCAAAAGAATCATTCATAAATAGGCTCAAATTTGGCTTTATAAAAGCACATTCAAACTTAGTTCGTTAATTTATTTATTTATTTATTTTTTTGTTGCATTTGAGCTCAAGCTCAAACTCGTTAAAATTTTAATAAACAAATCTAAACGTATTAAAGCTCAGCTTGTTAGTAGCCTCGTTTAATATTTATTATTTATATATTAAATAATATAAAAATATGTATAAAAAAGAATAAGATAAATATATTATTTATATATTTAAAAAATGTAAATGTAAATAATAGTTAACTATTGATAATACATTTATATAACAGTGATAGATATTGTTATTTTAGTAAAATATTGACTTTTTTAATATGTTTATATATAATTGTAAAATTTTAATTATAATTATAATTTTAGTCTCATTTGCAAGTATGAAATTATAATTTTTGTAGCTCAGTAAGGCCTGTGAACAGGTTCGAACTTGAGCCAAATTAACTCGAGTCAAGCCTAAGCCAATTCGACTCAAGTTCGGGTCGTTAAATTTTTATTAAATTCTAGTTTGGACTCGTTAAAATCTTAACAAACATATCTAAACATACTAAAACTCAATTTGACTCGTTTGCATTCCTACTTAAATATCTACAAGGAATAATAAATTATAGGGAAAATTAGTCTAGGGTCCCTCCCCCACTTTTCGTAATGGAAGAGATCCACAAAATTATTTTTTGATGTCTAAGATCCCTAAACATATATCAGAGAAATTTGACTCTTTACCCACGATTCCTCTCTCTCTCTCTCTCTCCTACAACCAAATGAACAAAAGCTTCAAGATCATCCCCTACCCCCAAATCCCACCCCTTCGACAACGTCCTCCTCTGAGTCTCCGTTGATCGAGATTGCTTTCTATACAAGCAGCGGCAACCTGGATGAGTTTTTCCATCTTAGCAAGAGAAGTCGCAGTGGCGCTCGCAATCTCCGGATCAATCAACTCGGTCTCTCTTTTCTCAGAAACCGCTGACCAGAGCTGTCAGGATTCAGTGGTGTTGTATACAGATTCTGTTAGAGTTAATGGGTTTTCTTCTGTTGGGGAGAAAGAGAGACTTGGGTCTTTGATTGGTGTAGGGAATTTGGGTTGGGTATAATAGTTGGTGAGAATAAGATGGGGAAAGATGATGTTTCAGAAACATTGGAGGCCTTGTGGGATGATGGGTATGGGGGCAAGACTGTCAAGGATTACCTTGATAATGCCAAGGAGATTATTAAACCTGACGGAGGGCCTCCCCGGTGGTTCTGCCCCGTGGAGTGTGGGTGTCCTTTGAAAGATTCATTTGTTCTTCTGTTTTTGCCCAGTAATCACTGTTTGCGCACTGGGTTTGAACTCCAATAGTAGAATAGTAGTCCAGATTTACTGAATTTATAATGGCATATGTCAATGTTTAGATTTTGGTATATAAATTTCTTGGCTTTCAAGAAGTCAATTTATTCCATGCTATTTGATTGTTGTTTTCTTTAAGAAGATTTTATGGGTATGTTTCTTGTTTCTTATGTGGTATTTATGCATGCAGGAATGGATGGTCTTGGATTGGGGCTTATTTTGCACCACAAGACTGTTAAGGATTCTCTTTATTTTGAACATCTATTTCGATTTTTTTTTTCATTTGAACTGAATTTTCTCCATAGAAATTCTCAACCCAGAGAAAATTCAGTTCAAATGAAAAAAAATCGAAATAGATGTTCTGTGAGCTAAATTACCAGAGAAAATTCTCAACCTAGAGAAAATTGTCAACCTAGAGAAAATTCAGTTCCATTGCCAAATACTCCTGGAAGCTTGCAATTCATTACAGGGACACACACAGCTGGAGCAAAAATACTATTACTAAAGCAACCGCCTCTCTGGGTTTCAAATTTGAAGCTTCCAAGCTCCATCCCATCCTATCCCTCCCAATGTTTTTTTTCTCTTTTTTGGTCAAACTCTCCCAATGCTCAAGGTTATATATAGTTCCATGTTTCCATTCTATATTCTTTAGTTTTACTACCCATATATATATATATATGAGGAAGAGGATCAAACCTAGTGAAATTTATTGAGATAAGTCAGTGAAATTTCAAAAAAGCAAACTCAGAGAAATTTGTTTAATATATGTATATATAAGTTGCTATTGTTGCTTATTCACTCAATGAAATGATCTTCTCTCTCTGCTTTGAACTGAAATTTCTCTGGATTGGTGAAGAGAAATTTTCTTGTTTGAACTGAAATTTCTTTGGGTTGGTCCAGAGAAATTCTCGGGTTTAAACTAAATTTTCTCTAGATTGGTCCAGAGAAATTCTATGATTTGAACTGAAATTTCTCTAAGTTGATCTAGAGAAATTCTCTAGTTTGGATTGAACTAGTCCTCAATGTTGTCCAGATTCGGAGGATGGACTTTCATAACGTTCTTGGCCTTCTTCACCTTCCTTCTAGTAGGTTGGTTTCTTCTTGGTACTTCTTCAGGAATTTGATCCAGTTGTAGCCTTATGGTGTGTACCAACTTTAGTTTAACAATTGCTTGTGGATTTCATGTATGATGTTACCTAAAATCACCATAAAATACTCTGATTTGCACCATTTTGGGAATTGGATGAGACATTTTCAAAATATAGAAAATCAAAAAAATTGAACAAACCAGAAATTTCTCTGGTTTGAAATTTCTCCGGATGGAAATTTCTTTGGGTTGAAATTTCTTTGGACAGATTTTCTCTAGACCAGAATTTCTCTGGATCAAATTGAGAGACCTTAGACATTATGAAAATATTAGATGTCCTTTATACTATAAAGTCTTAATACCAGGGACCCTAAAAAAAAACCCCTAAATTATATACATATATATATATATAAATAGTTTGATTTGATTAGTCTGATTTGATTTTAAACCATAACCTTAACTATAAGGTTATGAATTAAACTGTGAAATATAATTCGACTGCTACAAAAATGAGTCATTTAAAGCTATGTTTGGTTTTGACTTTTTAGCTAAAAAAACACAAAAAAGAAAATTAACTACGTAAGCTAATAAGATAAAATGTCATATTCAAACCATAATCATTACACTTTGTCTCTCACAAAAGTCAAAAAAGTCAAAAACAAAAACCAAACGAGACTAAAAAAGTCAAATTAAAATAGCCAAAAAGTCAAAAAATCAGATTATTTTAATTCCTCCCAAACGAAGACTAAGCTTGACTTGTATTTTAATTCATTAAAAACTCATTTCAGCTCAATTTTCTTGTTATGTAACCGTTTGGGAAGCAGGTTTGTAGGCTTTTTTAGCTATTTTAACCACAAAAGACAAAATAGGCTATTTTAGCCACAACCAACAAAACATCACATCCAACTCATAATTATTATACTCTTCTCTCACAAAAAAAGTCAAAAAAGCCAAAAAACCCTTCTCAAACCAAGTTTTTTAGCCCAGTCTAAAATAGCCAAAAAGTCAAAAAACCAACCCACTTTCCAAACCAACCCTAAGTGAATCACGTGCATTGCAAAAAACTAGAGTGACAAACAAAATGAATCATAACATTTTTTTGTTGTAAAAAAATATTAGTGCTGTATTTGAAATATAAATTTGTGCCAAAAAAAAAAAAAAAACAAAAAGGAAAAGAAATGGAAAGAGAAGTTTTAAAAATAAAAAAATTTATTTCATGCACTATAGTTCCTTCTCTTTCAAGAATTCAAACACAAGTTACAAAATTTTCTTATAATAATTAGATATAAAGAGGAAATCACACTTTCAATACAAGATTTTAGGTTAACAAAACTCATAAAAAAGCACAATGAAAGTTAGAACAGTTTCACCAAACTGAAGACTTCCATTCCAGCATGCTATAACATCTGATAAATCAGAAACATCCCTCTCCTCTAAAAAATAAAAAATAAAAAAACCATTTTTTTCCAACTTTTTGTATTGACAATTGAATGCATATATTGTTATTATGGTATTTCACAAAAAAATAAATAAATAAATAAATAAAATCTTATTCCTAATTGTTCAGAGAATATTAAGCCAAAAATTGAAATATACCATTATTATATATATCTTCCAACCAAGAAACAACAACAATGATCAAATACCTTCTTAAAAGTAAATTCAGTGATTGGAATATCCAGAATTTGGCACTTTCATATTTGGTAGCAACTAGTAAAATACATGCCACAGTAGGCAAACCAAGTTGAGATGAGCTTGGAATGAGCATGAAGAAATTACCGATACTTCTTTCATCTTTTTAAGTAATATTCAGCTGAATGGGTTGGCTCAAGATCTTTGGTATCTATCCTCACACTTTCAATACAAGATTTTAGGTTAACAAAACTCATAAAAAAGCACAATGAAAGTTAGAACAGTTTCACCAAACTGAAGACTTCCATTCCAGCATGCTATAACATCTGATAAATCAGAAACATCCCTCTCCTCTAAAAAATAAAAAATAAAAAAACCATTTTTTTCCAACTTTTTGTATTGACAATTGAATGCATATATTGTTATTATGGTATTTCACAAAAAAAAAAAAAAAAAAAAAAATAAAATCTTATTCCTAATTGTTCAGAGAATATTAAGCCAAAAATTGAAATATACCATTATTATATATATCTTCCAACCAAGAAACAACAACAATGATCAAATACCTTCTTAAAAGTAAATTCAGTGATTGGAATATCCAGAATTTGGCACTTTCATATTTGGTAGCAACTAGTAAAATACATGCCACAGTAGGCAAACCAAGTTGAGATGAGCTTGGAATGAGCATGAAGAAATTACCGATACTTCTTTCATCTTTTTAAGTAATATTCAGCTGAATGGGTTGGCTCAAGATCTTTGGTATCTATCCGAACTAGACGAAAAAATGGGATCACTTCTTATGGACTCATTGTGAATGATTCCCATCTTGTTCATATAGCCTAGTAGGAGTAGAAAGCATGATGGTTTCTGACGGGATGGATCCTCATGGACAAAAAACGATTGTTGTCAATCTAGGGAGAATTGATTTGACAACAATGAGTATTCTTTGTATGTTTTCATCATAATGGTTGTCATTCTGAATTTCAATGAATCTTGCCTGCAAGAAAGATTATCCAATGAATAACTAAACCAAAAAAAAAAAAAATACCAACATCAATTTGACAAAATGAATTCACTTGCAAATGAATAACATAAATTACTGACTCAAACCCGCACTACCAAGAACGTTAGCAGAAGCCTTGCCATCGCACCAAGCTGCCCTTTTTTCAAGTAAATATATAGCATATTTCATTCATTCATATAGTAATATACATTATATGTGGCAACATTGGCTCCAATAAAATTATTGAAGATGTATACACTACAAGAAAAAGCATTTTTGCCGACCACTTTTAGCTACCAAAACTAATTTAGTCGCCAAAAGTCACGGAATTGGCTACCAAAAATAATATTAGTCGGCAAAAGTCAACTTTTTAGCTACTAATTTTTTTTAGTAGGGGAATGTTGATTATTGGCTACTAAAAAAAATTTAGTAGCTAAAGATATTACAATTGGCGACTAAAACAATTTTTAGTAGCTAAACATATTGATGCTTCTAATAGCAGAATGTGATTCTTTTATTGACTATGACACTTGATTTATTATTATTATCAATCTTCTCATACACCACCATCATCTCATACACCACCATCATCACAATATTAGCTATTAATTGTACTTAGTTTTGCTTATTTTCCAAATTAAGTGGTAGCTATTAGTAAATTCTGTTTGGACGCAAAATGATAAGCAATTCTTTTAATCAAACAGATTTGATCATATACATGCGAACTTATAGTGCTGGGGAAAAATAAAAGAACTAAGAAAAGAAGCAAGAGAGTACGAAAAGAACTAATGCACTCATTCTCATGTTTGGTTTATTAAAAAGGGCAGAACTGTACATTCCAAATGGAATCAACATTTATCAATTTAGGAGAATGATCATTCTGTTGGGAGAATAGCGCCATTCTATTCCTATCAAAGACCATTCTAGTGAATCAAACACTATCTAATAAATGAAATACTCAACTTAATGGTGTACTCATTTAGGCAAATAAACAATTGGAATCACCATTCACCTATTTAGGAGAATGAACATTCTATTGGGATGCCGAAGAATATCAATTTTATTATTGCCAAAAAGCAGTTAGTGAACCAAACATTGCCAAAGAAATGAAGAGAATCAACTTAACGGCACTCATTTAGGCAAATAACCAATCTCACTTTTCTTTTTTTTCCCCCCAGTTAACCATTTCCTTATTTTGAGGCAATGTGTTTGATTAAATGTAGAGTTAATTACATCAAGAATCCCTTGACTATTAGCGAATATTAGCTTATCCTTATCCCTCTCATTTATGAACCTACACATTTTGATCCCTTCATCAACTATAAAAATGTAATTCAACCCTAAATGAACTAAAAATGGAAGTGAGAACTGAAGTAAAAAAAATGAGCAATGACACACAAAAGAAAGGAAAAATAAAACAAGTCTGAACTAGAGATTTTGCAGGAGGAAAAAAAAATGAAAAGCTTCAAACTTAACATGGATGCGAAAAACTTCAAAACCTGAATTCAACTGACCTGTGAAATTCTTGCTCATTGAGAAATGTCTACAATATCACGATCAACTAGGAAGACATCAGCAAACACCACTCATCTGCTTAAAATTACATTTTTGCATTGCAAATATGGGCTCCAAGCAATAGATTAATCAGACTGCCAAAAAAAACTGTAAGGATGAAAAATTAATGCATATAGTGGATAAATGCCAATGGTAAAGAGACACCCAAAAAAAAAAAAAAAACGTTTTATAATTTTTTTACATGTGTCGAACCATATTGGCCAAGGGCATTGCTTCATACAATGATAAAATCCTTGGCTGCTAAGCCAAGAGTGAATTAATAAGAGTGTATGATGTTATTGTCAATGAAAATGCTAACTGGAACATTAATAAACATAATTACTACATTTTTTGATCAGCAAAAAGAGAATCTTTATTGATGCAAAAACCATACAAAAAAGAGATTACATCAAAAAAGGAGGGGGAGAGCAGCAAGCTAGCACACCCCAGGAGTTTGGTGAGGAACCAAACCCAAGGAGAAGAAAAACATTAATAAATCCAATCTATATATTATTTTTTGATTAAATTCATTGTTGTAATTCATAATTAGTGTGGCATGGAGGGCTTGTTTGTTATTTCCAAATTCATTATAGGGAAACCAAACTATAGTAGTGCTATCTTCTTCCACTGCAGGAAAATCGACTTTTAAAACGCCACTATAGGTACTGAAAACGTCGCTAATTCTTTTTGTGACGTTTAGTACCAAACGCCAAAGAGCGGCCGTTGCTATAGCTTTATGGCGTTTGGAAAACGTCGGTACATTAGTATAGGCGGCATTTTTAAAAACACCGCCAAATGTCCTACCCTAACTGTACTGTGACATCACTATAACATTTAGCGACGTTTTGAAACGCCGTCAAACACATTTATACATTTTAAAAATCTAACCGTTGGAATAGGGATATAGTGACGTTCAAAAAACGCCGCCATAGCCTTTTTTTTATTTTATTTTTATTTTTGAAGTTGTGCTAATTTTATATGGTTGAAAAAAATACCTGTCATAAACAATTATTAAGAACTAATAATTGATGTTTATTAAAATAATAAATATACTAAGTTTGAAAACAAAATTAAAAATAAAAAACAATGCAATAAAATGTGATACATGTACAATTACAGAATATATCTAGACACAAAATATATTAGAAATCCGTGAGGATTTATTTACAAAGTCAGGCTTGAAAACTCAAGTAGAAAGCAAAGAAGACATCCACACTCCTAATGACACAATACCGATAGTAGCAAAAGCTTGGCCCAGTTCATAAACAAAATTTTCTTTCTGAACGAGGCAAACTTTGCCAATTTGTCCTCCTGCAAAAAGTCATAGCCAAGACCAAATTAGAAAGGTTAATATCAGTACAATAGATTGACACATTAGATTAGAATGGAAAACATTAGATTAAATTTCATTTACTAATATCAGTACAAACCAACTTCATATATATACACATTTAAGTCCAAAAACCAACCAAACAAGACAAACAAGGAAAAAAAAAATAATCAATTTAACAGAAACATATAACTCATTTAGGTGCTAACCAAAATTGAGTGGATGCATCAAGAATTCACATCCTGTCAACAAATACAAACCACTTTGATATATATATACATACACATTTAAAGAGGTCCACGTACTCCATGAAATCTGACATGTGCATCTCTGTTTAGTTGAGACAGCATGTACCGACTACATAGCGCTTACAATACAGTGCTTGAGAAATTTGCATGGATCTATTTGCTACAGCAGCAAGTGTGGCTTCATTTAACCGAAGATTGGAACTTCGGCATCACCGGTTGAACTTCTTGTATGGTGATGCCAATGAGGTTGTTGTGGCTGATTCAAGCTGTAGTTGCACTGCTTGGTTGTTCCCTTAGCTTCCTCTTTGGATGACACTGCAGAATAAAATTAGCCTTGTGAATATCTGTCGTTGCAACAAGAACACCAACACCATTGTTCTCATGACAAAATGAAACTTCATCATTTGACATGTATAAAAATGCAAAACCCTACACGCACAGAAAGTTTGTGTGCACAAAATGCAGCAATTTGTACATTTTGTGAGACATTGGTGGATACTGTGTGCGTAAACTTTTATGCACATATCATTGCTGATGCAATTGTATTTAACATGAAGGAAAATAATAAATGATGCAGTAGAAAATTTTAAGAGAAGCAAAGATGACAACATGAGCTTCAGGAAGAGGAGAATAAAACAGGTTATCCTGATTGCCAAATTATGACTATTTTCATAGATCAAGGCATTTATGCTGTTAGTAAAGGAAATTGTAGCAGAGTTTCAGAGTACATTGAATAAGAAACTCCAAAACATTAGATTAGAGAGATGTGTGTATGTTGAAATATACCAAAGAGAAAAGACAATAAAATATGATTTCCACAATTCTTTAAGAACATTAACTACACTGCAAATGTTGGCTATCGCTACACTGCAGATATGTTCTCATATCATGTGAAGCTATCATTCCATCCAAAAAACGTAAATGATAGATCACATTGTGCACTCTGTTAGAAACTCTACCACATACTACCTAAACTAATCATGACAGGTAATAAAACACTATGAGTCTATGAGTGTCATGTTCAGCATAATCTATACTACTTATTTACCCTTAATAAGAGGAATTTTGCACATAATATCACAAAGAAAATACAAAGAATTTCAATGATGAGTACGGAATTAAATGTTTACTTCACAAATCCCAAAACCCATAAATTCATATATAAGGGCATATTTTATACTATTATTAGAAGGTAACACCTTAATTGATGTCCCTGGCAGATTTTTAGCATGCCTGAATTACCCCATGCTCAAACATCTTTGCATAATTCTAGAATGCCGAAAAACAAAGATAAAACAGTTAATTAAGGTCTTCAAACTTCAACATTAAGAATGAATAGCAATACAAGGAAGTCAGTTCCTATAGCTGTTTATTGTATCAACATCACATGTTGCTGAATCCAGGACACTGAACTGGTCCACCAGCTGCAGGACACACTTTCCAAACACCATCAACAGCAACCTAAAAAGAAGTAAAGAAGTTCACAGTTACATTGGAATATCACATAAAAAACTGACAACATGCAGTTCGAAAGTGAGTCCTTAACTCATTGCTGAACATAAATGAAGAAACGATGTGGCTCAGTCGATCATGATTAGGAATATTTTATAATTTAAAGATAATTATACTTTTGCAAAGGAATTGATTTTTCAATGTAAAGACAATTTTTCCATAATGGTCCTAAAAGAGATGGTATCAGTAGCATTCTTTGAAGGAAATAAATTCAAAATCGAACACGTACAATGTTTGGTTGCAGCCATTCTATTCAACATAAATGAGCTCAGAATCATTGTATTAAAAACTAAAGTTAAAGGTCCAAATTATACCTCCAGCAAATTATTTATACACCTGTGCTGATAACAACCATTTCCTTGGGTCATGGAACCCCTTACAAACCCAGTCCGTACTAATGATGAGGCCATACACCTACAAGAATGAACAGAAGTTATGCCAATGCAGAATTCAAATGTGAGAATCTGAAAAAAGTTCCATAAGCATATCTCACCTTGAGCTATGTCCTCTCACCTCACCCAACATTCTGTCAGGTGCTCGAGCACTATTCATGTCTGTGCATGATTGCATGATCCATCAGAATAAGCTACATAATAAGTGCAATAGTCAGCTAATGACGACTGCCCACCTGCGATGGCCAAGAATGGAAGTCAATATTCTATAATGGTTATTATTGTACAAATTTAAACCAAACATGACTATCTAAATTTAAGTGATCACCAGCTGGAAGTGGAACATCTAAACTTAGCATAAGAAATTAGTGTACAAAAAACTTGCTAGAGTTTTGAATCTTTCCAGCAAGTCACAAGCAAAATCAACTACTGTCTGGAAGAGGACAGATGTCAGAGGGAATCCAAGCTTTAGCAAGATTCTAACATGTCATTTAATTTAGGGTATATTACACTGATCTCCCAGCAAACTCCACAACTTCGAAAAAATTACAGTGACCTCCCTTTTAGAGAGGTTAAAGGGACCGGAACAAATGAAGATGGTGTGAAGACACAAAGATAAATAAGGAAAAATTATACATTTCATTGTAAAAGATATGACATCATCATTTTTCCATCTACGTGACTAACAAATTTCTTATGAAAATGAGGCTCAGTGCTATGTGAATTAAAACCTTAAGAGAGTCCAATGTGATTATGCTAAACTAACATGTGTGTTTGATGTATAGCCAAAATTACTTTCACAGGATACTCATAATAGCAAGAATTCAAAAATGTATGCTCACCAGGCAAATTTTGAAATCTATGGAGTGGAAAATCAGAGGAAAACCATCATGTCAACATATTTTCCAGCGATGGTTCTGGTTGCTACCAGTCCAGTTGCCAAAGCAGCACCGAATAAAGCATGCAATCTCACACAATAATACTTTGCCATAAAGATCTTCATCTTGTCCTATAAGAATGAAGTCTCAATACCACAATAGAGAACTAATCCAATTCAGCTATAAAAAGAGTAACAACTAATCCAATCCAATTCAGCTGACAAATTTAAGGATTGATTTAGAAGTTTAGAAACTGTTGGAAATATTTTTGAAGCCACAAAACTTTATGTTCTTTTAATCTAAAAGTTCTGTCCCTAATGGAGAAAGACACTACAATGTCTATATAAGACATTGGAGTTCTTTAGTTTTGAATAATTTATTTTGTTTTCCCTCTATTGTTTTTCTTTGATTATATTCATATATTTATAGGCAACTTCGATGATAGACAATTCATTGACCTTTCAGTGATTTGAGTTGTATCTTGAAGGTGTCATTGTCTGCTAATACCTTATCATGGGGAGGCAATAACAACTTTAGGAAAGCAATTACGTGCCTCTCATAATCATAAGCCAAATTTATCTACTTTACTTTTGATTTGCATTTTTACAGTGTATTTATTGATTTTCTGTGATCATGATATTTATGGGGGTACCAGGGATAAAAACTTATAGCTGGGTTACGCGGATCATCTTCTGGGATATTTCGTTCAACTTTCCCAACAAGGTCAGCACCAACATCAGCTGCTTTCGTGTATATACCTCCTCCAACTCTGCCAAATAACGCCATTGAAGAACCCCCAAGACCATAACCGGTTATAGATTCATAAAGTCCCTCCCAATCATCCCCATAGTAGAGTTTAAAAAGATTGACAGAGACATAAAGAACCAAAAGGCCATTGGCAGCTAGAAGGAATCCAATCACCCCACCAGAGCGAAAAGCTGTTATAAATGCTGTCCCGACACCCTTTCTTGCTTCTAAAGTGGTTCTGGCATTAGCATAGGTTGCGATTTTCATTCCAAGAAAACCGGAGAGTACAGAAGTGAGAGCGCCAAGCAAGAAGGCAATTGTGGTCAAGATGGCATTGGCAAGGGCCGGTTTACAAAGGTTTCCTTGATTATATGTGCATGGTTCACTTTTGGTGTTGAATCCATTTACCGATCCAAGGAAAATGAACATGATAGCACCAAACACAACCGTGAAGATGCTAAGGTACTTGTATTGAGTAAATAGAAATGATGTTGCTCCTGGGAACATTCGACGCACCAAAGTAAGTTTAGGTAAGATTATGAGATTTCTACACATAAGAAATTATTAGTTTTGGGGAAAAATGTTTATTGGTTTTACATTGAAATTTTCAATTGTTAATCAAAATAGTTAACATGTGCTGATAAGTATGAAATTGTACATATATACACATGTCAAGGTCCATGTATGGATTAAGGTTTCTAGGAAAATTATTGTACTCAATCAGAATTATGATCAAAATACAAACAAACAAAAAAAAATCAGAATTACTCATGTCAGAAATCCTACTTCTCATCCTTTTACGTCTGCAACCAGCTTCATTATTGGTTTTTTTGGTCTTCAGTTCTCTTTTTTCAATTTTTATTTTATTTTTACTTATTAGGGACTTGTAGTCTAAAAGCACCTAAAAACTTAATAAACAAAGGAATGAAAATTGGAAAAGTCAACTAAAGATTAAAATTTAAAAAAAAAAAAAAATTGATTTAATTGAAAAGCAGTTTTTAAGCACTTTTGTCTTTAGTGTAATTTTTTCAATTTCCATTCAATTTTTAAAAATATTTTAGAGACTTTTAAACTAAAAGTCCCTAAAAATGGGAAAAAATTAAATGAAAATTGAAAAAGTCCTCTAAAAACAATAGCCGATTAAAAAGGCAGATTTTTCATAGGTATGCCAAAAAAAAGAAAAAATGGGGGGCCTAACCACCTAGAGAAAAAACAAGATAAAGATATAGTGTAAGAGTTCCCCAAAAATCTATGATTTGCAGGAAAACAAGAAGACTGAAAAGAGTTTTTGTGAATGGTAAGTTGCATCAAAATAGAGGACAAAATAAAGAAACTTCCTTTTTTTTATAAGGATTTGTATTGTTTTTAAAAGTTTATTGGACCATTTTAGCATATGATCCAACTGAATTCATGGCCTACTTACAAATATGTAAGAGAAGGAATTAAATTTCTATTGATAAAAATTTGCACCAAAATCTTCATAGTCACATGTACAATATCTGAAGGACACAACCGTGAATGCAGTCTTCAATAGAACATATTAGAATGTGCAGATCAAGTAAAGTTGGTAAATCCGAAGCATAAAAACACAAAGAAAAAGCCCAGGAACACAGAATCGGACACAACCTTCTCATATGAGGTGGGTTCCGTCTTTTTGTGTGAGAGTTGTGTCCAGTTCTGAGATTGGTTTTTGTGTAAGTAAAAAAAACTTAAACACAAAATAATAAAACCAGTAGTGCCTTGTATAGTGATGCCCCCAAAATCACTTGTTATATAAAAGTCATGTCTTAATTGTTTAGTTTTACATATTTTTGAGTTGGGGAAGGGAGTGAAATCTTTGTGTTTAACAACTATAGTATTATCACAATGATCAGTCGACAAAGGAGGCATAATCATGCAACAAAAGTTAAGGAAAATGGTGATGAAAGCTAGTAACATCATATTTGAACAATCACATTGTATTTTCAAGGTTACTCACTAGAGGAATATAATTTATCTATGAATATGGAGATCTAGTTGTTCAAACACATATCTGTATAGCAATTGAAAAGGTGGGGGAAAGGAAACATGTAAAACCAAGAACAATAAAACAAAACATATATAGGAAAACAATCATTGTTGAAAAAAGCAGCAAATTCTGTTTCAAAACAAAAAAAATAATAATAATAAATGACATAATTTGGATACTTGATCTGTCAATGAAAAGGAGGATTGAAAGACTTTTTTTTTTAAAAAAATAAGCATACCCTACGATTAAAACACAAAAACAAGTAAAATGATCACAGCAGAACAATAAAGAACCAAATTGAAAGTTTTTAAACAGAAATTGAAGTAATCACAATGAAACTAAATGCCCCAATTTGAACAACACAAATGGACCAAAAATCAATCATGCCGAATTCCATTAATCACAATGCAACAAGGCACAAGAACTTATGGAGAGAGAAAGAGTTGACCAACAGAAATGGCATTTTGAATCTCAGCACGCTTGGCAATAGCCTCCTCAGAGTCATTACCCTCCTGTGGTTCATCTTCTTCGATCAACCTGTCCTTATATCCATCCAAACCAGACCCAATTACCCTCACCTTTGACACCAAAACCACTGAAACAAAGCAAACACAATCCCCACTAAAGCAGCCACAGGTATCACAATCTGTGTTAGGTTCTCACCCATCAAACCCATTTCAAAATCACTCCCAAATGTGTTATGTTTTTGGAAACTACGAGTCTATGGTGGCTTGTTTTGAAGAACATACACAAATTTTGAAACTAGAACAAGAGAAGAGAACCTATATATCTATTATCCAAAGGGTATAATAAAATTAGTGGCTCTACTTTGCATTGGGTCCCTATTTAGAAATTTGATAAACAAAAACAAAAACAAGGTTGGTTTGATTGACAGATAGGCCAGTGGTGGTTTTATTCCATGGAAGCTGCTTGAAAAAAAAAGGTAGGTTTGATTATCAGGTAGCCATTTCACATTTGGTGGTATTTACCAATTTTACTTTGAATTGAATAGATACTTCTACCCAAATTCCACCTTCCTTGTTAAGACCTCATTATCATTTAATTATGCAAAGTTTGAAAATTCCATCTCTCCAGATAAGAGGAGGTTCCATTTGTTCGACAAATAACAGATGCAAATCAGCCTTAAACTTTATTAACTTGCCCCTCTGAAATGCATTAAGCCACTGCTAACATATCAAATCGCAAACAAAGGGACTGAAATGTAATCAAAACAACATTTAAACAATTGAGATATTTAAGCACAACAAATAGTAAAGTTGCGATAGAAATGATGATATGACACACAATCTGACCTCACATCCAAACCCTAGGAGGAGATTCAAGACTGTAAACCCTAGGAGAAGAATCAGCGGAATGAAGATTTTGAGAGAAAGAGAGAGAACTTCGACATCGAAATCGAGATTGTAGACAGTAGTGCTCACCTTAGTAGACGATGCAGATGATGGTGGTGGTGGTGGTGGAGCTTCGAAATCGAGAGAGAGAGAGAGAGAACTTCGAAATCACTTTAAGGGTTTAGAGAGAGCGAGCGAGCGAGATTCATACACTGGTGTTTCTCAGATTTGAGTGAGTGAAAGTGAGAAGAAGGGTTTCTCAGATTAGAATGAGGGTTTGAAGAGGGAGAGAGAGCGCGTGAGAGTGGGATACATTCGTAGGCGTTTCCAAACGGGTTAAACGGTACCGTTTTATTAAATTAAAATGTGAGATACATTCGAAGGCGTTTTTAACAGGTTAAACGTTATCGTTTTATTAAATTAAATTGCGACGTTTATAAAAAGTTGTTAAATATTAAAAAATGTGAGGTTTAAAAAAATGCCGTTAAAAAAATGCCATTATATCATACATTTCCTGTTGTGTTCTTTTTTTAACAAATTTGTAACGCCCTCAAAATAACAACATTAAACCCATCAGATAAGACATGCATTTACATATAAACTAACCACATTCCTTTATTCATTAGAGTTCCATTACATAAGTATTACATGTTAACATCATAACCATCTTATAATTCTTAGGGTTAAAAGAGAAAATTGAACCATTTAATAGCTCTGTAAAAATATTGGCAACTTGGTGTTGAAATAGCTTCCTTTTCTTTTCACCAAGCAACAATTCAGATGAAACTTTTTTTTTTTTATCAGAAAAAAAAAAACCTTTATTGAAACATCATCGAGGCAATTACAACAACAATACAACAATAAAGGAGAGACCAAGTGCAAAAACATCATAGCGAAACAAATCCATTCCAATTAAATTGGCATTGATATGAATGCCCTAATCATGTGATAGCAAAAGGCCGAGTTTGGTGAGAAACCTAACAAAAGACAGGAAAGCAAGAGCCAACATGGCCACCAAAACAACAAAAAAACAAGCAAAGGCAATCAAACAAAACAACAGACACACTATTTTTTTTTATCGGCAAAAAAATAAATAAATATAACAAACAAATGTATTCTTATTCCTCAAATTGTATAGTGATATTGTCATGTAAAAAATATTGCATTTCCAGAAAATAATCTAATTCTCACAGGTAATCATAGTTTTAAAAAACGGCCGCAACCGTTACGTAACACCGTTACGTAACGGTTTTGGCGGTTACCGCCACCCGTTACGGCCGCTTTTGCAGTGTGATTGAGATTCACAGGTGTGTCGGCCGTAGCGACTACCGTAGCAGTCGTAACGGTGCCGTAACAGTGCGTAACAGTCGTAACGGCCTGTTACGCACTGTTACGTAGAGGTTCCAAACTGTTTCTTTCGAAAAAACACACAAAAAAAAACTGAAAATGAGGGAAGAGAGATAGAGAGAAGATGAAAGATAAAGAGAGAAAATGGAGGAGCAAGAGATAGAGAGAGAAAAGGGAAGATGAAAAACATGTTATTGATTTGTTGAAACTGTAAGACCTATGTTATTCTATTCAGCTGCCATCACTTAACCATTTTGTTTATATGTGTCTATCTATATATTGTTTGAAAATAATAATAATAATGAGTGTGGTCATTATCTATTTGGGTTAGTTAAAATATATGTATATATATATATATTTAGGCTATATTTATTCTCTTACTTTTGTCATTGTTTATCTTATATATAATAGTTAGTGGTTGATTTTTTGTATAATATAAAGTCATTAATTATTAAAATAAAATGGAAAAAACTCAGTTTATGGTGATTTAAAAATATGAAATATATTGGATCATACTTAAAAATTTACAAAAATTGATTAATATTTATTTTTAACCCAATAAATATGATTATGAAAAAAAAATATGTGTATCGGTAAGTTTGTTTCAAATTATGCGAAAAATAAAAAAATTCATGGTTCCGGTTACTGCAACTGTCACACTACGGCCTTTACACCCCGCAATCGCAATCGCGCCACCGCCACCGTTACAGCGACCGCAACCGCTTTTTAGAACCTTGTTTCACATTGATACAAAAAATTGTACTGTCAAAACAAGTGATGCAGTTGAGATGAAACTCACAAATTGCAGCGCCTCTCGTTAATAGATTGACATATTTGCGGATCACGTACAAGCATGTTAACTTCCAGTTGAGCCTTTCTGTCTGCAACATGGGCAGCCATTGCTGTTCCAAAAGACCCACCCCCAAGAACCACCACCTGACAACCAAAAGTAGAAAAACGCTGTCACACTACGGCCTTTACACCCCGCAACCGCAACCGCGCCACCGCCACCGTTACGGCGACCGCAACCGCTTTTTAGAACCTTGCAGGTAATGCTTCAATGAGCATTACACACCATATGCAATCATACCACAAAATTACGTAAGTTTTTACAAATTTAAATAAGTGATTCCACAAAAATGCATAAATTAAACACAAATTCACGTAAGTTTAGTTTTATGAATAGACTTGTGTGAATTTGTGTTTAACTTGCGCATTTTGTAAGATCAGTTATGCAAGTTCGTAAAAATTTGCATAATTTTGTGATGAATAATGCTTGGGACCTCCTTTTGGGGGTCACCCCCCTCACCCCCCTTTGCCACGTGGCGGGTGGTGATTGGAGGAGCAGGAAAAAAAAGAAAAAGAAAAAGAAAATGTAACCACTGAGAGAGAGAGAGGGGGTCAAAGGGGGTGGGGGGAAAAGGGAGAATGAATCATTGTTGTTTTGTGATAAGGTTGCATATGGTGTGCATTGCATACAGGAGAATGCCCTTGCTTTTTCAATGGTTACCTATTATCTATTGTAATTAGCTTACCCAATCGTATCACGTTGCTTTATGGCAAAAAAAAGTGGGCAATTTGCTTAATACATATGAAACTTTGATAGAGATCATCTTTTATGAAGAACTCTTTCTAGAGAGCTAGAGAGAGAGAGAGAGAGAGAGAGAAAGGAAAGAGTTCTAGAATTGAGAAGGAAAGCTAGAGATTTGGAAGAGATTCAAGGAAAAAATTCCTAGATTTGAACTAAGGTATGAAAATCTATCTAGAATCCTTGTAAATAACTCATCCTTTGTTTGAAATCAAAAGGAATTTAGAAACTTTAACCTATATGAGTTAGGGTTTTGGATTGTGTGATTATTTGAACAAAATTTAAGAAATTGAGCCTTGATCTCTTTAATTTTGTTTGATTTGAGTTCAATCTTGTGAATACATCATGAGATAAGCTCTAGATTATTCATATAACAAAGATTTGTGTAAGGATTATCCATGTACATGTATTCTGAACTTGATCACGTGATTCTTGAATTTTGAATTTGAGTTCTACAATTTTTATTCTTCACAATGTTTTTTCATGTGTGACTAGATTTTGTTTTATAAGTAGATTATATAAACACGTATAAATATTTTAATTATTAGATAGATATTACCATTTAAAACAATATTTATTTACCTATTCTGAGTTTAAAATAAATTGTTAGACACTAATTTATTTCAAAATTTACTTTTTAGGGAGAAATATTTTATTATTTATACGTGATGAACTGAAAGACTTCATTAAAGTCAATGAGTTCGTGGACAACATGACCAATTTAGTAATGTTTGTTCACAAGTTTTTATGTTCAAATAACTTTAAATATGGGAGGAAAAATAAAGGAGATTTGTTCACCATGTGAAGATGATTGAATTTAAGAGAGAGTAGAAATGTCATTATTAGTACTGAAATTTATGTGTCAATGTTATTTAGGTGTGCTTATTGAACAATGAAAAAATAAATAAATATTATTGACTCAATTATTATTTTTTTACTCTTAAATAGTAAACATTCTTGAATGTGAGATTCACATGGGAAATGGAGGATCAGATTTTTACCTAACTTGTCAATGTGATTATTTACTGTTGAAATAAATAATAAAAAATCACTTTCCTAATTCACTTTCGTAATGTGTTTACAACGGATTGAATTAGGAATTTTTATTCCTTCTCAAGATTTTCATCCTCCAAGAATATATGAAAAAATATTGAGATTTCTAAAAATATCTCTTTTAATTTTATTTATAATGACGTGATAAATTATGTGTCAATTTTTAATTTGTCACGAAGTCAACTATATAGGACTCAACTCTTTAATCATATCATTATGAATGAATTATAAGTTTTATATTGTATAAGACATTTAGAGCCAACAAATTACTTTTTGTCCTTCTAGTTTTGGTATGAGCGTTGATTATGAAAGTAAAAGCTTTATAATAATGGATGAATTATAAGTTTTAAATTGTATAAGATATTTAGAACTACCAAATTGCTTTTGGTCCTTCTAGTTTGGGTATCAAGGTTGAATATGAAAGTAAAAGCTTTATAATCTCTCACTTTATTTGGTTATATAGCCCTTTAATTTGTATGAAAGTTCTTCTGAAAAAATTGAAAACAATTTTAGTGTTTTCTAAAAATTAAATCAAACCAAATCAAACCAAAACTTAAGTCCCATCAAATGGGGTCGACTGCATGAATCATTCTTCTCCACTCGACTCTTTACGAGGTTATTTCGTTAGTTAAATTAAGGAGATTCATATATCTATTTACTACACTAGTTCACGTCAATTTAGGTCTACCCATTCCCCTAACACTACCATCTACTATCATTATATTACATCTTTTCACTACTGCCTCTGTTGGTTTCCGTTGTATATGACCAAACCATCTTAATCTATTCTCTCTTAACTTCTCCTCTATCGGTACTATTCCTATCCATTCTCGAATATACTCATTCCTAACTCTGTCTTTGCTAATCTTGCCACGCATCCACCTTAGTATACTCATCTCAACAACAATCATCTTATCTATATGTTATTTTTTAGTTGTTCAACATTCTGTCCCATACAATATCACTAGTCTAATGGTCGTTCTATAGAACTTCATTTTTAATCTAATGGATACTCGTTTATCGCACAATACTCCAGACGCACTTCTCCACTTAAACCATCCCACCTTAATTATGTGGACCGCATCCGTTCCAATAT